CAGCAGCAGCAGCACGAGCTGCTGCAGCAGCAACGCCAGAGAAAACCGAAACAAACATTATTAGCTTGTGCTGCTGCAGCAGCAGCTGCAGCAGCAGCAGCGTCTGCTGCAGCTGTGAAGCTTTAGGGACATAGTTTGCGTCTTAGGTATAGGCAACACGCAGCAGCAGCAGCAGCAGGAACAGCAGCAGCAGCAGCAGCAGCAACAGCAGGAACAGCAGCAGCAGTAAAAGCAGTAGCAGCAGCAGCAGTTGAAGCAGTAGCAGCAGCAGCAGTAACAGCAATAGCAGCAGCAGCAACAGTAGCAGCAGCAGGAGAGGCAGGAATAGCAGCAGCTACATTATCAGCAGCAGCAGCAGCAGAAGCAGCAGCAGCAGCAGCAGCAGCAGCAGCAGCAGCAAACTAGCGCAGCAAGGGTATCTCTACATTACCCCTGAAGCAGGGGGACCCTCTAGAGACAACAGGAGGCTAGCAATGCAGCAGCTGCAGCAGCAGCTGCTGCTGCTGCTGCAGCTGCTGCAGCAGCAGCAGTGTTTGTCTACTGCAGCAGCTGCTGCTGCCTAAGGCAGCGCCAGCAGCAGCAGCAGCAGCAGCAGCAGCAGCAGCAGCAGCAGCAGCAAGTGATATCAAATGCAGGAACAGCACTAGTCTGCAGCAGCAGCAGCAGCAGCAGCAAAAACGGCGCAACAGCAGCAGCAGCAGCTTCACTAATAATACTTGTAGCAGCAGCAGCAGCAACAGCAGCAGCAGCAGCAGCAGCAGCAACAGCAGCAGCTGCAGCACAGACACCCCGAGCAGCAGCTAGGGCAGAACTAACTGCAGCAGCACTATAAGCAAGCAGCAGCAACAGCAGCAGCAAACACCAGCAGCAGCAGCAGCAGCAAAACAGCAGCAGCAGCAGCAGCAGCAGCAGCAGCAGCAAAGTCGATGGTTACTATAGAGACATATCTTTGTGCATCATACAAAAACAATAAAACAACTCCCTCTTGTCTTCAGTATATAATAATATATATATATATATATATATATATATATATATATATATATATATATATATATATATATATA